TTTTTTTTTTTTTATTTTTTTTTTTTTTTATTTTATTTTATTTTATTTTATTTTATTTTATTTTTACATATGTTTAGGCACCTGAATTATTTGGTGCTGCAGTAGCAAGTGTAGGTGTTATGGACATGTTGAGGTTCCATAAATTCACCATTGGACATGCGTGGAAAAGTGATTATGGTGACCCTGATAAAAAGGAAGATTTCGAATATAATTACAAGTAAGATATATTTTTTTTATTTTATACTTGATTAAATAATTGTACAATAATTGAACTTTGTATACATTATGTTATGAAATTTTTGGCATTGTTAGATATTCTCCGCTTCATAATGTACAGTCTGCCAAACAGTATCCTGCAGTATTATTAATCACATCGGACCATGATGATAGAGTGTAATTATTAATTCATTATTATGATTGAATTTAGATCATAAAATTTTATAACATTTTTTATGTCATTTATTAATTTGAATATTTTTAGAGTGCCCTTGCATTCATATAAATTAATTTCGGAACTGCAGTATGTTGTAAAGAATAATCGAAATCCTTTAATGATTAGAGTCGAAACTAAAGTATGTTAACTATTATTATAATAGTATATACCATTTCAATTACATTAATTATATATGTTTCTTAATTTTAAAATAGGCTGGTCATGGAGGTGGAAAACCTACACAGAAGAAAGTATGTTAATTTTATTCGTTTTTTAGAAATTAAATTACAATTACTTGAATTGTTTATTAATTCGTAACATTAAATTTTTTATCATAGATTAATGAAGCTACTGACAAATATTCCTTCATTGCATTGTCAGTTGATGCAAAATGGGTAGATTAAATATTTGTTTAATATTATTAGAAATAATTATAATAATATGTGAGTTAAACTGTATATTGAAGAAAATGAATGTGCCTTATATATGCAATTATATTATTATAAAATTAATTTATTAGCTAATTAGCGCTAATCAATTTGCAATCCTTGAATGTGTGACAGGTTGATGGCTCAGTCAGCCTCAGCTGTAACTATGATACATGATTGTATTTGAATCTGAATCAGGTGTAAATTTTAAGGACAAATAATTAAAATTTAAACTATAAGTTTGGGTGATGGTGAGAGAAAACCTGTAAATGAATTCTTTTATAAGTCCACTACAGTGATAAAAGAAACTACCATCCATTTCAAGTTTAGGAACAATATAAACGATTACGAAATTTCTTTTGAATAAATAGAATTCAATTCAACTATTTTTTTGTAACATTCTTTTATTTGCATGGATATTATGAGAATCAAGATTTTCTTTTACTTTATTAGTAAAGGTGCAAGGCATTCTTTACAGTATTATTTCGGGAGTGTTGTTTTAAAATTACAGGCAAGTACAGTACCTAAATTATTCATTAAATAAAATCGAATTGTTGTAATAACGATATTCAATAATAATAATTTATAAAAACAGTCTTAAAATAAAATTTTGGCTCTTTTAAAATAATTCATTTACTGGTTTTTTTATCGTTTATGAGTTTATTTTATTATCATTATTGAATGCTCTTAATTTCATCCATACCATTTTACAACATTGAATATTACCGGTAGAATAAAAATGATTCTGTTTTAAAATAAAGAAAATGATTCTGTTTAGAAGAAAGCCTGGCACATTCGATCAATTTTGATCTAAATGATTTTTTTTTGTTTATTATTAATTCGAATAAACTATAAACATTTAATTTTAAATCCGAACAAAAATTTAATATTAATTCAAATTCATTTGTTTACAGTAATTCCCATTCATTCATTAATCTCTAATTCGTTTATTTTCAGATCTAGTAGTTTACTATCTACAAAAAGATAACAAAAATATTATTTAAAGTAGAATAATTAACAAAATTTATTAATAAATTTATTTATAATACCATTATATAAAATAAGTTTACTTTTATAACTTGTTTTATATGTTTGCATATGTTCGCTTGTAATACTTCGTATTTTATTATTATACTCGGTTAATTCCAATAAAATATCTTTATTGTTTTGCCATTCAAGAAAAATATCATAAATATCAGAAGCTGATGGTCGATTTTTTGGATCTTTATCCCAACATCTTTTCATAAGATCTACATAGCATAATACTGTCTCCTCAAAGATAGGTAGTCGCAAACCTTCACATACTTGTAATTGAAATTGTAAATTCGATTGTAATTTGGATTTTTGCTCGAAGATAACAGATTTTCCATGTAAAATTTCCCACATAATTATTCCAAACGAGTAAATATCTGATGATTTAGTATATGGTTGTCGATTTAAAATTTCAGGTGCAATAAATGTTAAAACTCCATAAATTCCATTTTGTTCTGTTTTTGATTTTATATTAGCTGATATTGAAAGCCCTAAATCTGCAATATACGCACTATGTAAGCTACTTTGCAGTATGTTTCCACTATGTAAATCTCGGTGAATAAGCTCTTGTGAATGAATTATTTTAAGGTCTGATGCAATACAAAGTAAAATATCTAATTTTTTTCCCCACTCCATTTGTACTATATTGGGAAGATTTTCTCGTAAAGATCCCATCAGTGCATATTCCATAACAAGAATATAATCTTTAGAAATCTTATCTTTTGATAATCCAACACATTTTAAAAAAGTTGGATTCTTAAAACCAATTTCAGAGTATGCCGTTAACTTATCATCAAAATAAAAAATAATTAGCATAAAAATAAAATATTAACCCATAAATAGTGCATTGACAAAATTACCTCTTTTATGACTTCTTCATTATAGCTATTTGATTTATGAAGTAATTTAAGTGCAATAGGTAAGAATGCATTTCGACTTTTAGAATGCCATTTAGCTTTGAATACAGTCGCAAATCCACCTTCTCCTATCTTTTCAATATCTTTAAATTCGTTATAAGGAATCCATGACAGATATTTATTTTTAAACAATAGTTTTTTCAAATCATCATCAATCTCTGAACTTTTAAGCATCCATTCTTCTGTAACTGATAGGTAAATGCAAATTTCTGTTAATATAATACGTATCATGACTAATTAGTAGTCATCTGAACAACATCTTAGTAAAATGTATCGAATGTTAATTGTTGATTGATATAATGTTTCTTCAATTTAATATATATGTTTTTCTAAGTAAACTTAGTTTAGTTGTAAAATCAGTTTTCCAGTTATAACGTGCAAGTTATCTCGATATACGAGCATTAAGATTTTGTAATCACATGGTTTTTTGCAATTTTATCTTCATTAGATCCAAATTTTATTATCTACAGCAATGAAGATTAACCCACGCCACATTTTACTGTAATTTCAGATGGCTTGTAACTTTTAAATTGAATTAACAATGGAGTTAATTACCTGATGATAAGTTTATACCTGATGCTAAATTTTTCTCTCTTACTCTAAAGCACATTATAGAAGCAATGAAAGATTTACTTAGTAATTATATTATTATATGAATTTACTAATTAAATACGCAATTAAAAAAAAATAATTAAATAGCATTTATTTACCTTTCATACCAGTAATTGGCATTTTGCAAGTCTCTTGTTACGCCAATTCCATTTCGATAGAAATAACCAACAACAAACATTGCAAGAGTAAAATTCATATCAGCAGATTTTTTATAATAAATAAATGCTTTATGATCATCCTTTTCAACTCCAATTCCATTGAGATAACAGTTACCAACATTATTCGTTCTGATAGCATGACCCATATCAGCAGATTTTTGATAATAAATGAATGCTTTATGTTCATCCTTTTCAACTCCAAATCTATTTTCATAACAGACACCAAGTGCAAATATTCCATCAGCAAGACCCATATTAGCAGATTTTTGATAATAAATGAATGCCTTATGTTCATCCTTTTCAACTCCAATTCCATTGAGATAACATATCAGCAGATTTTTGAAAATAATCAAATGCCTTATGTTCATCTTTTTCAACACAAATTCCATTAAAATAACAGAAACCAAGTAGAACTATTCCACTAACATTACCCATATCAGCTGACTTTTGATAATAAATGAATGCTTTGTGTTCATCCTTTTCAACTCCAATACCATTAAAATAACAGTTACCAAGTGTAAATGTTCCAATAGCATGACCCATATCAGCAGATTTTTGATAATAAATGAATGCTTTGTGTTCATCTTTTTCGACTCCAATACCATTAAAATAACCGTCACCAAGTGCAAATGTTCCAGTAGCATGACCCATATCAGCAGATTTTTGATAATAAATGAATGCCTTATGTTCATCCTTTTCAACTCCAATTCCATTTCGATAAC